ATAAATAGATGTTATTGTCGATGAATGTTTGATTTTAACCATTGTTTAATATATCTACATTTAGCATTTGTTTTTGTTTGTAATTTTACATTTTGTTTAAAAATAATAATTTTTGAAAACAACTTATTTTAAATATTTAACATGATGCACAATGATTTGTGCCTCCAGTATATTAAAAAAATATAATGTAGATACATAGATTAATTTACATCTTTAATTAGTAAATTGATGTACATAAATGCGATGTAAATTATAAGTAATGTTTCAGCAATAATTTCAATAATAATTAAAATATAATTAATAAATTTTATTTATTCAATTAATTAATTTTTATAACGAATACACCGATAATTTATATCAAAAGAAAACTATAATAATATTAAATGATTCGAAAATGATCATTTTTAGTATTTATTACTTTTGGAATAACAATATTTACAATGAAACATTTATTGTTTAATTTAATAACACATTAACATAATATTGTGGATTAAATTGTTTATTATTGTGTATTATTAATATATTATTTAGATGTAATTGTTAATTTTAAGTAAACTTGGAAGTCATTTACAAACTTATAAAAACACCCATTCTATTTAAAATATTGTTCGAACATGAAAGTTATTAAGTAATTTTCGAATTGTTAATTGGTTAATTGGTTGATTGTTTACTTTATTTAGAATGTATTTTTACACCAAAACATCAAGTCGTTTTCAAATAATATTTTGAATTTATTTTTTGTTTTTAAAACAAATAAAAAAACAAACCACAAAATGTTACAAATAAAATGTTTTAAGTCAAAAACAATCAAATAATCAATTGTGGCAGTTAAATACAATCATATTTAAATAAAAAAATAAAATAAAATAACAATGTCTGAAGAAATATCAATTGAACACATAGTAATTTGGAGTAATTGTAAACTTGTCGTTGTTCAAATAACAAATGGAGAAGATGGAGAGAAAGAAGAAACAATCAAGACATACACTGAAACGGATGTATATGAATATGATCAAAAGACTGGCAAAAGACAACACAAAAGAAAAAAAAATTGACATGGTTCAAGGTATATACAAGTTCGAATGTCAACATTGTAAAGCGAGATACGCATGTGGCAGCAGTTTTACTACAACAAATGTGCTCAAGCATTTAAGAAAGAAGCACCCAGATTGTTGTGGTATCTCACAACTTGAAAAGAAACGTGGAGAATACAACAAAGGTATAAGAGACCCCAGTGTTCTCCACAGAAATATTGATGAACTTTTGGTGCACCTGGTGTCATGTCCTGGCATACCACTATCTATTGTAGAATATGAACCTTTCGTCAAACTTTTAAATCTCTTTGATAAAACTTACAAACCGCCATCTCAACAGACATTATCAACGAGGTTGAAAGATACCTATATTAAATTGAAAACAAAATTGTCACAAGAAATAGGCGAATCACAAAGCGGCATTTGTGGTACAATGGACGGATGGAAATCTCCACAAGGTCTTGAATTCTTTAGTTTTACCTTACACTATTTATACAATTCTCAGATGGAGTCAAGAGTTCTGGAATTGTCTGAATTTTCGGATTCTCATAATGCTGATAACATTTCAGATTTTATTAATCATGTTGTTGATAATTGGGATCTTGGTAAATACGGAGACTTTCCAATTATAACAGACAATGCATCCAATGTCGTTAAAGGTGTCAAGTTATCGGGGCATGTTTCTATTGGGTGCTCGTGTCATAGACTGGATTTGGCTCTCAAGAAAGGTATTTCAGAAACTCCAGAAGTAGCAGAAGTTCTCAAAAAGACCAAGAGAATAGTGAAGAAAGTGAAACGTTGTTCACAGATAATTCTTCCTTGTAAAGATGATAACGGTA